CTCCTCTCAGCGAACGCACTCCAACCCCATCTTCAAAAAAAAAATAAAAAAATTCCTGGGATGTTTTTTGGCTCGTCTGGTTTTGCCGGACGGACCCCCCCCAGTCCGTCTGGCCCGGTCCGTCTGGCCCGGTCCGCCTGGGCCGGACGTCGACTTAACCCAGAGAAAAAAAGAAAAGAAAACAAAAGAAAAGAGTACTGGGCGCCTTCCCGAAAACTACATTCCAAATGGACACAGCAATCCAGGATCTAGAATCCGACCCAGAGGAATGGGTGTGGTTCTCAGGTAACAATAGATTTTGTAATACCCCCATTCAGATAACACAGTACATAGTCAAGATGGGGTTCAGGATGTTATTAAAAACTTTAGACCCGGAGACTGTAACCAAAGAAAGATGGATCAAATTGTTAGGACACAGAATGGAACCAATCTCTGAGTTTCCTTGGCGGAAGTAGAAATCGATACGTCCAGTCAAAATCAAAAGCCTTCAATGGCTGATCACCTACAATGCTCTCCCAGTAAACACTTGGCTTCACGTCCGTAGAAAGAATAACAACCCAAAACAGCTCAGAACAGTGTCCAGTGTGCTCAGATAACGAACAGCGGGACCTAGTACACTGCCTGATAACCTGCAAGCTCGCTACTGACCTGCGGGTCAGAGCCTCAGTCCTCTGGGGCAACCTATTCCCCTCTGCCCTTTCCGAACACCCAATCCAACTACTCCCATGGACTGACATCCGTGCTCAATTTAACAAATCTGAACGCATTTGGTTTGGGATAATAAGGAAAGTGACACTTTGGGTCAATAAGGAAAGTGACACTTTGGGTCAACTGGAAGGAGTGGTGCAGCAGGACCATAGGTAAATCCAGCAATCCAAGTGAAAAGGTATGGGCAACAACAAGACTTTTTATGGAGACTGCGATCCGGTGCCAATGGAAGAAGGTTGAGATCCAAATTCAGCAGGACCCGGAGAGACAGCAAGAGTTGGTAAAGTTCAGGAGAGCATGGTTGGTCCACGGAAAGACAGCTGATATTCAAGAACTACAAATCAGATGGAAAGACTGGCATAGCTCTGCTACCCCCCAGGGGGTAAGAAGTTCTCACTGAGACAAACAACAAGATTTCAGAGCCACATGAGACGTTCCAGTGTCAATCCAGTGGCTGATCTCTGTTATCCTTTGCATTATCGGAACCCGCGAGGGAACTCAGGGAAAGGCAAGCTGAGAGTCTATCCTCCACAACGCAATGCTGTTCAGGAACTGCAGGGACCCTTCGGCCAGATGGAAGGGGGCGTGTGTGAGTCCAATGATGTAATAAAAAGAAAAAAAGATGAGGTGATCACAGAGCTGGTAGTGAGACCAGCAAGAGCATAGGAATGCTTTGTGTTGATTGTTGTCAGAAGAGAAGAAGGATGTTCATCATCAAGAGCCCAGCATTTTCAGTTCCTTTGCCCGTGCAGTCATTACTCCTGCTAATTGGCTTGTCAGCCGGCCGACACCGGCTACGGACCGCTCTGCAGCCGGCCAGTCGGCAGCCAATGAGTGGCTGCCTTCTTGAAGAAACAGAAGGCGGGCTGTCCTTGACATGTCCCAAACACCCGGAAACAACTACCTAAGCGGCGTTTCTGGGTGTGTGGGAAGCACGTATTGCAAACCTAATTAAGGAGTCTAGCTTCACACAGGGATGTCTGCTGTCGGTTGGGCTGCACGAGGTGGTAGGGGATACAAAGGTGACTCTATTCACTGTTCCGATCTTTGATTCTCTGAAGATTTCACCCTCGGAAATTAGAAGTACGATGTCATGCACAACAAACAAAAAGCTTTATCAACAGCAACTCTAGCCATACTCGGCTGCATTGGGCCGATCAGGGCTGAGGACTCTAGTGGAGCAGAATTTCAAGGCATAGAAGGTTAACCAAGCAGATTTGGAAAAACTGCGGTGGTGGTGGAGGAGGAGGAGGACAAGAAGACGAAGATGAAAAAGAACAACTTGGGCTGTTGTGAGGCGCCAACAAGCCCCCAACTGATGGCCCCCGACCAGCCGACTCGTTTGCTGGTCAGGAGCCGACTGCTTGGGAGGTGCTGATCATCAGCGGTAATTCTGCTTGTCGCCATATGAATGTTAGTCACAAGAGTCTAGTGTGCTTAGAAATCGAGTTTCACCAGTGCAGTTTCCTTGCAGCCCGATCCTATTCCAGAAACTGAAATAGGATCTGGCTACATCTAGCGCGAAGGGAGACGCAGGGGCATGACATGTTCACAAGAGAAGAGAAGGGGTCGTGACTAGCATTCATATGGCGACAAGCACAATTGCCGCTGATGATCAGCGACTCCCAAGCAGTCTAACACACACCTCCACCTCTACATCTCCAAAGGTCAATCCTAGCTTCTATGTCAAACTCGATGATAACATTCCCCCATTACCCTGCCAATCATCTCTACGCCAAACTTCATAAAGGATGTCCACATCTAGACTATAATGATTCTCTCTGCCACTCCACCATCAACCAATATTGAATCCATCCAACGTCATAGATGAGGGGTGCCACACATGAGACGGTGTATCTCCCTCTTCGATGGCCAAAAATGCCCATAGGAGTCAAGTCCAATCACAACTGGAGAGATCTCAAGTCGCCACGTCCCCATGTGATTATCATGCCCAAACTCGAGTCTTGCTCACATCCGCTTCCTCATAGATGTCCCACGGAGGCAGCTCTATCACGAACATGGCTTGGACACGGGGTAGCCACCCACGCGATGTGGCTGAATGGTATACACACATACCTGTTAGCAAACAGCTCATGGGTTCATATCCCGATGGAAACAGATGAGTAGAATACTGCTTCGGGTTAGTCCCCTTAAGAGAAGGGGCAAGGACAAGGACATTGAGTATCCAAGTGCCATATTGACAGTGAGCTTCCGCCATGGCTAACCACCTCCACCTACATAGGCAGGAGGTCTTCCCCTACTCTATCATCCTTCCATATATCCCGGGTAGCTCCTGGATTCCACTGTGCAGCTCAGTTCCGATCCGGGGAGCAATTGAGGACCTGCCATGTGAGTAGTGATCCACTTGTGGGGGGGATTTAGGGATTTCCTTTCGAGGCTGAGGGGGTTATCACTGGTACTGTCGACTGCCAGTAGTGGACAAGGGCTAAATATGATTTAGTGTGCATCAGGTCGTGAGTAGAGAAGCGACGATACAATGTACCTGTTCGCATGGGCAGGTGTGGGTAGGAACCCATTGTTCTGGAAGACATTTTACAGGGCCAGTAGAAAGTCCCAAACGGGCAGTGAAAGTCCTCAACCAAGGCAATAAACCAGTGTGGACACATCACTTTCTTAGGAAGCTCTGGTCCTTGTAATTAGCGCATTACTAAGAGAGGGGGTTGTTGGGCTTCATGGTATATCTAAAAGGGGGCCCCGCTTGGGGAGACTAAATATAGATGTATAGATGCCACACAGTTCACATATATAGGACGATAGATCCCTAGGACTATGATAAATGCGGTCTAGTGGGTCTGTAGTCCACTGTTCACCAAGCCAAGGGTCCTTGCCAGTGTAATGATTCCGGGGGGCGTTGCGCCCAGAGGGACTGGAACGCAGAGTTTGTTTCCCGCCTTGGGAGAGCAATCCTCGATCGAGTGCAAATGAACAGGAGTCTGAGGCTCAAAAACCGGGGATGAAAGTCCCTAAGGAGTCGTGTGTGTATAGGGAAGGGTGTTAGGTAACTAGATCAGTCACCCCCAAGCTGGCTGTGCCATAGAAAGCCTGATCCCACCACCCGCAACGCCTTCAGAAAGACGCACACACACACACACACACACACACACACACACACACACACACACACACACACACAAACACAAACACAGTCCTTATCCATCAGTCAAATGCATCCTGGGCATATTGTCGGGGTTCAACCTCCTGATGAGTCGGTGAAAGTCTGACAAAACAGTCTCGCACAGTCATGTGTATAGCGAATATGACAAAACACACACACACACACACACACACACACACACACACACACACACACACACACACACACCTCGGCAGAACACAGAAAATTCAGAATAACCCAGAGATATCAGAAAACATTCAGATACAGATGCTCATTCAGATAAAGATGCTCACGAGTACTGAAAATTCAAAACTCAGGGATTTGTCTGACCAATAGGTGTGGCCAATTTAGTAAATGACTTACAAGTACTTCGAAAGCCAGCCTGCCTCTACTGCTCTCAAGTCTTCAATCTTCTGCCTGAAGAAATCCTCCCATGCATGAAACTTTATAACCTATAACATAGCAACCACATAATTCATGTGAGAAGTTTCCCAAAAGACCCAAGCATTGCGACTGCCTAGTGCTGTGCCACATGGATGCAAGTTATCATGAAATGTAACGGGAGGGCACTTGCAAAACAACTGGAAGAAAAAAAAAGTAGAATTGGAAAATTTTCCCGTAAGTCTTGCATCTCCACATCAGTTGTGCAAAACAATAACAATCTTGTCTTTTTTCCTGCAAACTCCACTCATGAAGTTCTTGTATCTCCACATCAATTGCGCAAAACAATAACTACCTTGTCTTCTTTCCTGCAAACTCCACTCATGAAGTTCATCAAACCCTTTCAAAGGTTGACAGGCTGTATCCCTGCACACGAAACTGCATAAAATAACAAAAATGATCATTAGTGACATTAGATTCATTACACTAATGATGTTAACTGAAGTTGATTCACAGCTCATATTAACAACCTGGCATAAACGCTGTGCAGTGACTGCGTTTATAAATTTTATGTTTTCTTGCAATGGCAAGTTCCAATGATTGCTTACTAGAATGCCAGCAGGAAACAAGCTCACCTTCATGTTGTTAAGACTCTCATTCATGGCTCGCATGCGGCTGTCTTTGCTCATCATGAGCCCAACCTGTCAAGCACCAATTACATTCCATGTAAGACTTATGAGAATACAGAAAGTACGTCATCATGGCATGGAATGGACGTATTCAAATCATGGGTTGACTATTTCCCATTCTATTCACAACTTGAAAGGTGTTATACATCCTCTTTCTCATCAGGGGCTGGCCATTCTGATTCTGTGCCATGGGAATAATGCATAAGGCAACACAATCTGCCTGCTTGCCTATTTGTGGCCCACTCATCCCCCTGCCCAATCACTTGCCTGCTTGCTTGCCTGCTTGCTCGCCTGCCTGCCTGCGTGCTTACCTGCCTACCTGCCTACCTGCCTGCCTGCTTTCTTGCGTGCCTGCCTGCCTGCCTGCCTGCCTGTCCGCCTGGCTGGCTTCCCGACTGCTTGCTTTTGGTAGCGCCAATGTTCCGTGAACATCATTAAACATTCTTCCTTTTTAGCAGTTTAAACCACCACGTGAGCCTAAGTTGACAAAGCTGCGTTCGAAGGCTAGCAAGTCTCCACTAAGTCAAATTCATAGTGGCCTTCCGACCGGCCCAGGCACGAAGCATCATAGCCTTACTGTGTAAACCATTAAGAGCCCGGCGTGGGTGACTGACTTATACATACATCAAACTCTTGATCAACAGCTCCAGGCTTCATAGTTTTTTTTTGATAAAAAGATGGAAACAGGGTTGGTTCAGTGTCCCTTACATACAGTATGCACCACACGCTTCCCTTCATTTTGGCCAAAGGACCCCAAGCAACAGCATTGATTGCTTCCTTTCGCAGAGGGATGTACTGCCCCTCAGCCCCTGTTTCCACCCTAGTCTTTGTGCATCGCCGGAAAGGGACTGATGGTTAAGACTACCTTGCCTGACGATACTGGTTTTCATGCGCCCAGCTTCTATAGTAATTGTTGGCAGATCGTTTTGGTAACTGGAGAGGGTTCATACAGACAAGCTAGTCTAAAGCAGTCCATTGCTGGCGGTTCACAAGGCCCATAGGCTAATCCACCCCGTTGACATAAAGAGCAATTAGAGGAGCAGTAGAAGAAGAAAAAGGCCCTAATCCAATGTCAACCTCTCTCTCTCTCTCTCTCTCTCTCTCTCTCTCTCTCTCTCTCTCTCTCTCTCTCTCTC